TGTTCCGGGGTGGTAACACCTGTTAGGGTCCCAGCTATGGGCAATTAGTTACTTCTCCCAAAAAGTGGTCAAAACTCTATGAACGTGTACAAATAGGTTTTATTACCAGCAATACATTATTATCAGCAATATATTGGGGGGGGAATTATTACCAGCAATACAATTTCGAAAGAAAATATTGCCAGCAAAAAAAAAAAAAAAATTCTGTCAGAATTAAATAACTGTTGTGACGAAGTAAATGGTTAAAGAAATAACAAAACAAGTGTTGCAGATATATCATATATTAACCAGTAAGTACAACAGAAGTGTATTACACGACTAGTGAGTGTGCGTCGGTTGACCCAGCATTCAATCTATTCGACTGTTAATACTTAACAGTCCCCCCATAATAATAATAATAATAATAATAATAATAACAGGTGTTGTAATATTGGATGTATGCCTGATATAATGGCTTATTAATACTTATTTCTTTTTAAAATTTTATATCATGAATTTTTATACACGTTTTTTCAAGGTAAAAACCGAAAGACCACTCCCGTTCGCAGTCAAAGAAGTCGAGGTAAAGAAGAAACAGATGCGGCCCAAGATGGACAGTCGACAAATGGCAAGCATTCCTATTTATTTATTTTTATTTATCGACAAGTTCTGGTAATGATGTATCACGGGGGGGGGGTTGTGGAGAGAGTAGCCAGGGTCAAATGCAAAATAAATATCAACACCGTCTAACAAACAGAATTAACAAAGTTTGTAATAAAAAGAAAAAGGAACAGGGTAAAAATGAAATAATATCGAGCAAGCAATCAAACAATATATGTGTTGTGACCAAGTAAATGGTTAAAGAAATAACAAAACCAGTATTACAGATATATTCTATATTAAACAGTAAGTACAACAGAAGAGTATTACACGACTAGTGAATGTGTGTAGGTTGAGCCAGCGTTCAATCTATTCCACTGTTACCCCAAGGCCTTCTCTCCTACTAATCTTATAGTAGGCGGAAAAGTCCAACATAGACTCTTTAGAGGGAGGACACTACATTGAGGTATTGACATGCCGTAAAACAAACCAAACAAATCCTTCATCAGAAAACCCGGAGTAGAGCACTGAAGGCTGTTGGCTGTCAGCATTGACAACTTTCTGGCAACTCTTACAGGCAAACCGTCCCCAAATGAAATATCCTGTATTCCTTTGGATCTTGTCGGAACGGCTGTAATTTGGTCAGCACAGGGCTTCCATATACAATCGTCCAGTCTTGCGCCATAAAGAGGTCACTCCAGTTTTACCACCAAAGGACTGAATTTTGAACAAATATGGCGGTACCTTTATCACGCGAGATTAACGTATGTCTACTAATCAATCTTCTTATATGACAGTGAATGCTAACCAATCTTCACACGGATGAGGGGAAAACTTTTGGCAACTGAAATATGGCCATGCAGAAGGATATTGAGAATTCCATGGACGGAATGATCAAGAAACGCGGAAGTCTTAAAGGAAATGGCATCAGAAAGAAAAACTTCTATTAGGAATGAGAAAAAACAGTTGAAAGTGAGAGATAGGGCTTGGAAAACCTTTACCATCATGGGACAAACAGAGGGAAAGAGAGAAAGAGGAAGGCGTCGAGTCAATTACATGAAGATCTTGAGTGAGTAGATGGCGGAACAGAGGGTGGCAGTCTTTACAAAACGAGAAAAAACTGCTAAAGGCAATAAGTGATAGGAAGTTGTGGAGAGACATTATCGTCTATGACCTGAAGAGATGTGACTCATAAAAGAAAAAGAAGAACATGCTCTTTTCTGTTTTTTTTATTTAGCAGTAAATAAACTTATAACTTTCTTGAATGAGTTTTAAGTTCCTTTCCATTGTTTCAGTTGACAGGTCTTTTGTTGGACCAATGTTTTCTTTCAATTAGGAACGCCAGACCGCTTGAGATCTGCACGAACCTTCTTTTTAACTGTAGCTCGAATCGCATATATAGATTTCTGTTAGTATTTCTTTCCTTTTTCTTCTTCTCTGTGTCGTGTCCTTTCACGATCATGGCTCTCCACAATTTCCTGTCCATTGTAGCTCTTAATGAATTTTGCATTTTTGTTATCCCTCTTAAACATGCCCCCCCATTTCCTGGTAGGTTATGCTTTGTTTTTCTCTATCCATCTTGCCTCCAATCTGTCCGCAGAGTATCAAATTTTCCAACACCCTTTCCTCATTATGTAACCGAGAAATTTCAACTGTCTCTGCCTGATGTTAATTATAAGTGTTCTTTTGTTTCCATTGTCTCTAAAAAAATCGTCGCTGCTCACATGTTCTGTCCATGGTATTATCAGTATCCTTCTGTAGATCCACATTTCTGTTGCTTCAAGTCTCTTCTTCGTCTGTAATGAGATTGTCCAGAATTTACTGCCATATCGGTGGAATGATGTTACATAACAGGCCAGTACTCTTTTCTTTGTTTCTAAGAAAATTCTTCTGTTTCTTAATACTTTGCTTAGCTTTTGGGAGGCATCTTTCGCTATCCAAATGCACCTTCGAATTTCGGTGTCGTAAGTTCCCTCCACTGTTAAAAAATATTCCGAGATATTTAAATTGTTGTACTTATTTGATTCGTGTGTCTTCAATGTATAATTTGCATGCCATGCTTTTCCTTTTGCTAACAACCATTTATTTTATCTTCTTACAATTGATGCTTACTCATTTTTTTCTCTATTCCCTTCACTTCATTTTGTAGGATTTCTTGTAGTTTCCTTTCCCTGCTTGCTATCAAAGTTGTGTCATCTGCATATCTTGTTTTTTAAGATTGTGGCCACCAATAAAGAATCATCGAAGGAATTCTAATATTCCTAAATAATATTCTCCCAGAATAGCCCCACTGAATTGATCATGACCCCTGAGAAGAATTATACTGGATGCGATGGATAAATTGATAAATTATATATATATATATATATATATATATATATATATATATATATAGAGATGGATGAATTGTATATATATATAAAGATGAATTATATATATATATATATATATATATAATTGAGCCAGACAAACCTACCTAGGTTTCACCTAAACGGATCGTCAGGAAAGCCAGGAGAGCCACGCTTTCCCTGACGATCCGTTTAGGTGAAACCTAGGTAGGTTTGTCTGGCTCACTAGGTGTATCTAGGTTTGCTCTACGATTGTATTGAGCTCTTTTGTTAGTTAGTTGTTACTCGTATCGGGGTTTTTTCTTTGGGCTTCAGACCTGCATCTGTGCGATTTTTGTCGGCAGAAGTTTATGTTTGTAGCTCTTTATTTTTTAAAACCTTTTTTTCCCTCGAAATTGATTTGATTAACAAATCAAAAATTCGAGGGTTTTTCGAAACGAGTCTAGTTATTTATATATATATATATATATATATATATATATATATATATATATATATATATATAAATTCATCTTTAAATATATATATATATATATATATATATATATATACAATTCAATAATTATTCTTCACCTTTCCTGTTAGCGATTTGCAAAAAAAAACGACATATTTTACAAATTCAAGTTACCTTTGGGAGATTGTATCTCCAATGGATTAAACAATATTTATGTTGGTCACACCACAAAATCGCTGTCACGACGCTTGACTCTACATTTGAATGATAACTCTAACATTTTTAGGCATTGAAAACAACATGCCTGACTCCGTACACAATTCCGGAAAATCATTGTTGAAAACACAACTATACTTAAACATGAAAACAATAAACAAAAACTAAAATTTCTTGAAGAAAAGAAAGAAATACATAAAACCGAACTACGAAAGTAAATAAACTACGAAATCTCTACAAATATTCTTAAATGCCTATAATTGATAACAGAAGCCATTGATTTATACCAACGGCTTCCCATACTTAATACGTCTCGTTTTCACTCTCGCGTGGTCATGTGTGACGTCATGAGCTGCGACGCGATTTTCGCTTCCGCGTTTCGTATACACGATATTATCGTTGCTTTGAAATTTTTCATGCAACAAAAACAGACTATCATTAATGTTTCGTCCGTGTATTGGTTGATATATTGAATAGTAATTGTCATCTTTGATAATGGCTTATGTAACTCGAAAGCTTAGATTGGATTTAAACATGTATCAATATGGTGATTTCCTTTCGTTCTTCAATGATAATGTTATTAAGCTTATCAGACAATATGAAAGGAACTTACTTAAAATAAATAGACAAAAACTTTTCCATATTATTTAATGAAACATGCATCAATGAAAAATTGGTGCCTAAATATATACACAATATATATATATATATATATATATATATATATATATATATATATATATATATATATGTAGTAATCCGTTGGTATAATCCAGGCGAGTCCTATTAACACAACATAAAATTTGAAGTATGTTAAAACTGACTCACAAAAGAGTGCTCTATGTTTATTCACAATAAACAGAGCAAATTTACTTTACAATTGGAATTACGATACATTTTGTAAATTTTCACCCAAGAATTTTAATTTTAAAATTCGTAGGAATTTTCAAACTGTTTCAAGTATTGGCTTGTAGTTTACTGTACTGTATATATTCTTACACCCCTCCCCCGTTCTCCCACCCTATCGATAGCGAAGGTAGGGGAGGATCTTAAACTGTGTTAATTTTTTTTTTTAACACTCAATTTTTGTAAAATATATTTCTTTCCCAAGTGTTTCTTTCTGATTGATCAGACACGGCCGAGTGGAATTGATTAAGGAACAAACACGATACTTGCACAAATTTTTACAAAACATCAAAATTTTAAGATAAATAGAAAGAAACACGTAATAAAAAGGATCTCATTCTAAACTTGCATGAAAGTAGAAACATGAAAAAAGTGCATTTAAACAAAAATGAAGCACAAGAAAAACAACGAACTTATATCGTAAAAGTTTTTTCCACTAATGTTTCTTATATCTACTTCTTTTTGTATCTCTTTCCTTTTCTTTTTTCTTTTTATAGAGGTCTCCTTTTGAGGCCTTTTCTTACTTCCTCTCTTTCTCTTTTCGTCCTGTCTATGGCCTTGGGTGACGATTCAGTTGAAACTGCTTTCTTTCTTTCGTCTCGGTGTAGCAGCATTCTCGTTTGAGGTGGTCTTTTCTTACTTTCTTTCTTTTCCCTTTCGTCTTTTGTTTAGGGGCTTGGGCGACGTTTAAGTTAGAACTGCTCTCTCTCTCTCTTCTTCGTCTCGTTGTGGCAGCATTCTCCTTTGAGATCTTTTCTTCCTTTCTTTTCCTTTTCCCATAAGTATCTCTTTTTGAGATCATTTCTTGCTTTCTTCTCTTCTTTTTCTATAAGTGCCTGGTCTCGGAACTTGAGTGACGGATAAATCGAAGCTGTCTTTTATCGCTCTTTTGTCCCGATGTAGCGGCATTCTGCGTGCGTTCTAGATGATTTCTCAGAATTCAAACATTTCGTTCGCGTTCCTCGTGCTTGTGTTCGGTCGTCCGTTGGTGGTTCGAAGAGGGCCTTTTCTTTTTCTGCATAACCAACCAAAACTTTTGCGTTCATAGCAAGTGCGTCCACCTATTCCGTTTTCTTTCTCGTGTTTTCACAAACACGTCAGTCCGGCCCTAAGGCCTGGACAAGACTCTTGTATTTTTTGCAAATACGTCCGTCCGGTTCGAAGGCCGGGACAAGACTAACTTTTTCGTTTCCCTATTCGCTTCCTTTTTTTTCTTGTCACGTGGTCAATTTTCAAATACGAACTTTTTCCCATTGTGTGCGAAATGATCTGCGGGGTCAGAGAAAGTTTAGTTTAAAGTGTTTCAACTTTTCCTATCAGGAACCTATCCGTGTAAATCATGCTGTCAACACGTTGACCAAAAGAGAAAGAAAGGGTACATTCTGGTTAATCTTTGTCGCCACTAAGTCTACCTATCTCTTTGGGTTTATTATCTTTAGGTTTTCTGCAAATACTGGGCTCTTTATTTTAGAATGCTTCTAAAATATGAACTATATCCTATAGTTTTTATAATAAATTTAGGTGGGGGTTCGTAACATATATATATATATATATATATATATATATATATATATATAATTTATTCGAAAATTATCAAGTGATGACATTGAATGTAGAATAAAGAGTTTAAAAGGTTCAAATCGACCAGACACACCTTGATGCAGCATGCCGTTTCCAAATTTCTGGCAGAGTGAATTGCGTCATGTTGCTCTTTTTTCTCACAGATGGTGCCAGCTGACCCTACTATACCCTGTAGTCCTCAAAATCAAAAGCAAACCACGCGCATGCGCGAAATTAAAAATATAAAATGGCGATATTTTTTCCATCGCATTCTGTGTTTGTCTGACACCATTTTCTATTTTTCTATAGTTACTGAATTCATCTTCTATTCACATGCAGACGGTTTGCTCACAGTTTCGGGTCTGGATTATTCTAACAAAACTTCAAATAGCAAAATCATTCCAGGATTTTACCATGATTGTATTTCCGAAATAGGTGAAAACACGTCTGAAAAAGCGACACAGTGTTAAAAGTCGCAGGCCAAAAATGATATTCGCGGACCCGAGTGACTTAGGATTAATTGACAGGTTTTGTTTTTTTTTTACGGCTTATCAAACTTTTGAAGGTTATTTAAAGCTAGAAAATATTTCTAGATTGTAAGAATTTATCGGAGATAATAAGGATTTACTGACGCAAGTCCATCTAAACCGGGGGCGGGGGAAAGAGAATAGGTTAATCCATACTTGGGTGGCATAAACTCATGTTATTAGACAACTATGTAACCGGATGAAATATGGTTTACGTTGTAGACTGACGTAATGGGCGGCACCAGCGTTGAATTCGGATATGATTTGATACCCTGTTTCTCATTGGTGAGTGATCGTCATTCTTGTCAGCCGGTAGAAGTTCCGTTTTTACATCACTTGTAGAGACTCTCGGCTTCCGTATATGCCAGCACTGCCCTTGCAATTATCGGTCGAGAACAACCTAAAATTCTCTGTATTTCTGTTTGCGGAATGTACTTATCCCACAGCTACACCAACTGTTTACGTATTACATCACAAAAACGTAATCTGGGTTTGTCCTTTTGTATAATTGAGTGGAAAGAGAGAAACCGCCCTGGTATTCCAATTTTTGACACTTAAATAGAATTTTGTACATCACATTATTCGGCAACGTAGTTTGGCAAAGAACAGATTTGCGGATATTCACCTTTATGCAAATTTATTGAGACAAAACGAATAATTCCGTTATTATTTACGTTTTTTTTTTCAATTTTTTCAAGTGTAACATGACCTTTGTAATTTGTATGTCCTTTCCAGAAAGTCTTTCCTTGCATATTGACCACAGATTCTCGATTGGTTTTAAATCAGGAGAGTTTCCAAGCCAGTCGATTTTACTTTGATTGGTTCACAGGTAAGGCTTGCCACTGTGTTCGTACAGCGTTAAAATGTTCGTACGCTTCCAAATCGACAGTCGAGACAATAGTATCTGGGCGGATCTGACAATCCGCTTAGGTGAAACATTGGTAGGTTTATCTGGCTCTCCAGGTTTAACTATATATATATATATATATATATATATATATATATATATATATATATATATCAACACCATCACTTGATAAGACACCAGAAGTGTTGAAACAAAATGGCTATTTTTGTAGTGATTTTATAAAATTCTTATGTTATAATTTTCGAATAAATGATGATATATATATATATATATATATATATATATATATATATATATATATATATATATGTTTCTAAGCAAATGTCATGGTTGAATGAAACTGATGCACAAAAACTGATCTTGCGACTTTACACAACATTTCCACAAAAATTTCACCTTAAAACATTTTTAATCATCTCACCCCATCAAAAGCAGTATAGCCACTAAGACACAAAGGATTTCTAATTGGGAAAGAATAAGAAAAAAGAGAAACATTATTAAGGAGCGAGAACAATAGAAGAGTAATCAGGAAGACAGTCGATAACAATTGACATTGTATTTAAATTTTTGAAGATCAAAGCTGGCTGGAAAACATGGAGCTGGAAGGGAGTTCCACAAGAGTGGAATGCGACTAAAGAAACTGTTAGGATAGAACTTACGGTTATATGTTGCCATTTCAACCGTGATTAGATTAGACCTTGCCGACAATCGAGTACTGCGCTTAAATTCTGAAAGTCTACGTATCATAGACGAAAGTTCATTAGGAAAATTGCCATAAAAATATTTATAGAAAGGCACAGGGAAGTTGCATTTCTTCACTCGAAAAGTGAATGAAGCCGAGATGAGGACCAAAAATATTTCTGATTCTTCTTTTGATGTTATCCAGTCTCTCTATGTATGAGATGACAGGTAAGCCATAGTTTTCAAAATGAGTAGAAACAGTGATCTTAAGCATTTGCAAGATATTTACAAGTGGATGTTGAAAGATTCTCTTGCTGATCAATAAGAAAGAAATATGCCGAAGTCTGGCTATTTCGTCAGATTTTAGAATGTAATTCGGGATGAGTTTTCCAGTACTCCAAGTATACAGGGTCGGGTAGAAAAAGAATGACAAAATAAAATTGTTACAGTTTCTACAAATGTAGGAATTTTTGAAAACTTTTTCACAAGAGGTGGACAATATTTTAAAATTTTACTGTCCAAAAGCATTTTCAAATTGATGAATGTTTAATCACTGTGATCAGTAATTAATGATATGTTCCATCCAGGCGTCTTGCTGCTGAATGATGTTCGCTACTCTGACATTGAAGACTCTCTCCAACATTTCATTCGGAATTCTCTTTATTTCTCTCTTGGTGTTTTCTTTCAGCCCGTCAGTTGTGTCTGGTTTGCCCTCATACATTCTCTCCTTCAGGTAAACCCAGAGAAAGTAGTCCGGCGGGCTCAGATTGTTGACCATGTTTGCCGTAGTCTCTGAATATGGAATCCAGTGAAGTCCGTAATCTCCTCAATATCAGAGGTTGGCAGTGTAGATAATTTGGGAGAAAAAACAAAATGGCTGCTTTTATACACGTCGCATTGAATATTTTGAGCTTTCTGATTGGTTGACACTTCTATTGGTGAACTATAAAATGAGTCAGCTCATTTTGACTGGCTCACTAGTACATATGCCCAAAAAACTGTAACTCAGATCAGGAGAGTAGGATGGCCATGGATGGTCGGTCCTCCTCGAGATTAATCGGTCTCCTGAAAAGTATTACCCGATGTATTGAAGGGTACGGTCGGAACAGTGAGGTGGTGCAAAATCCTGTTGAAACACAAGTATGTCCATGACAAAACCCCTTCGCCTCCGGAAGGAAGCGTCTCCGAAGAATTTCGATGTATCGGTGTACATTCAATGTCGACCGATGACCATTATCATCTTAAAAAATGTATAAGCCTAAAATACCGTTCTTTCCAAATGCACACCATATCGTCATTTTTTTCTATGCTCAGAGGTTTTTCAACATGTTCATGAGGTTGTTCACTAGCCCCAAACCTGAAGTTTTCCTTATTCACGTGCCCACTCATATGGAAGTGCGCCTCTTCACTGAAGAGAAGACAATCCAAAAGTTCTATATAGAGAAGTATAGATAGAAAGTTAGATTTGCATCAATGAGCCATCGCACTACTGAATAGTTTATTTTACACAGTAAGCATTACAATTTGAACAGACACTTCTTTCTTACCAATCAACTATTTTAGTAGTGAATATTAGTCGCGTTAACTGCTCATTTCAGAGTCAAAAGTTTAGATACAAATTCAGCTAAATACTATGTATTAGATACTGAATGACTGATCCACGCTTGTGCATACAGGGTGTATCAAAATAACTGTTACAAATGTTTGGGTTTAGGATTCCTCACACCAAAACAATGACAAAATGCATATAAAGATATGTCCGCCACACCTGCGTTTTTGAGTTATTAAGTTTAAAGAAAGTTTACGATAGATGGCGCTGTGTTCGCGTTAGACTAGCTTACATTTGTCATTCGTGTACAATTGTCGCTAGTCTGTCTTCAACGTTCAATGTGTGTAGTAGTGGGTCAACTGAGAAGTTTTCTGTTTAACACTGGCAGGATATTCATATCGTGAGCAGGCAGATATATATTTTTTACATACGGCCGCGCGGGTGTTAATAGACGCGAGACTGTAAGGCTGAATCCGATTGCGTTTTCAGACTAAAGGCAGCCGAGTCATCTAACCTTTGTTGCAGGATCTGTGGCACGGCAAACTTTGGATCGAGGAAGACCGAGATCCGCCGGTACGCCTGACCATGAAGAACACATTCTACAGATTGTCTGAGTCGATCCTAGTATCAGCACAAGTCTATTAACCCTAGCATGTCGTAAAACACATAGTAACGCATGGCGGGTACTTCAAGCGCAGCTCCTGTATCCGTATCATTTGCAGCATATATAGAATCTTTCGCCTTCCCATCATTCACCGCGGACACATGTTTATATGGACTTTTTGTTTGGTGTGAGAAATTATTTTTACAACTTTTGGTGACAGATCAGCCTGTGTTCATTAAAGTACATGAACAGAATTTTGTACAGAATAATGACTAGTTAACCCATGCGATAGGGTAGTTATTTTATATAAAACATAGGAATTTAACGTTTCTGTGTCATAGGGGTTACAATCCTCCAAATGTTAGGAAGATTCATAAATGGAGTAATACGGATCATATATATATATATATATATATATATATATATATATATATATATATATATATATAGCAGTGTGTACGTACGAGCGTGTTTTCGCTTATCGTAATTCACACGCATTCTAAGTCGGTTTAGCACGTGCAACGAACTCTATTCAACATGAACTAATATGGCGTTCTCCGGAGACGTCCACACCTGCCGAGCTTAATTCCTTCCCGCCATCTCCGGCAAACGGTTCCTTGACCGGGAGATCAGTTCTCTGATAGCGTCCGACTGTAACACTTGGCACTACCCCCATTTATAATCGAGCGTTTTTGCCGAAATGCCTTGTCCTTTCTTTTCTCAGCCTCCAAAGTATCTTTTTTTGTTTGTTTTTTTTTTATGTTTGTCTTGTGTGTGTGTGTGTGTTTTTTTTCCTTCCTTTTTCCGAGATAAGAACGAACATTCTATACTGGAAAAACGTTTCCGTTATTTTTGGCTATTTTGTTTTTAAGTTCTAAGCCTTTGAGACTGACACTTTGCCACCTGGACTTTTCTTTCTGACCGCCTGCACGGTACTCGGCCAAAAACCAGTGCCTACTGTTTTCTGGATTGCATTTTACTTTCTTTCTTCTCCATCTTCTTACCGTTTCTTGGTCTTCGTATTCATTTCTTTTTCGTTTTCCTCTTTCATTATCTCTTCCAATTTATCTTCTGCTTTTTCTCTCTTCTCGTTAGAAACATTCTCATTATCTTCTTTCATTTCTCCCTTCTCTTTATTTTCCCCATCTTTCTTTTTTTTTTCTTTCTTTTATACTTCTACATCTTCCGCGTTTTTTGAGGTTTTTTTTTAATTTCAGTTTCTTATTTCCTTTCGTTCATTTCTCTTTTTGCTAACATTCTTTTTTCTTTATTTTCAGTTTCTTTCCGCTTCTTCCTCTCTGTTTGCTTGTTTCTTTCTTTCTTTTCCTCGCTTTCTTTCTTTCTTTTTTTCTTTGTAACATTGCGTCTTTCTTACATTCTTCCAGGCTTACTTTCTGTCTTTTCAATTATACCCGACTTCTTCTTCTTTCTTTCTTTCTTTCTTTCTTTCTTTCTTTCTTTCTTTCTTTTTCATTTTTTCTCCATCTTTCTTTTTTCTCACATTTTCTTTTTTCTTTCTTCCTTCCTACATTTCTGTCTGTTCAATTTTTGCTTCACTTGTTCCTCTTTCTTTCTAACATTCTTTTTTCCTTCCTTCCTTCCTTTCTTCCTTCCTCCCTTATTTCCTCCCATCCCCCCTTCCATCCCTTCCTCCCTTCCTTCCTTTCACCCTTCCTTCCTCCCTCCGATCCTTTCTCCCTTCCTTCCTTTCACCCTCTCTCCCTCCCTCCCTCCCTCCCTCACTTCCTTCCTTCCTTTCATTCCTTCCTTCCATTCTTTCCTTCCTTTCATATTTTCTCCACTTCTTTCTGTTTCTTTCTTTGTCATATACCCAAAGAGTATCATAATGTCGGATCATATCGAGTATAAAAATTTTCTCCATCCTGCTGGTCCCTGTCGTAGAGCATTGTTAAAATGTACGTCTCGCTTACTGTTTTATTTTAGTGAGTTCGATCCTCACTGAGTGTCCCATTCCTGTTATTAATGCATATATATTGTCGTAGAAAATCACAACTGCAGCCCTCCGTGTAGATCGATCTCATTACAGAAGAGAATAGATTGATCACATTAGAACTGGTCCGAAAATGAGGGATTCATTATCTCTCCTGTTAATTACAGAGATTGCAAGAAAAAAAAATTGAAGCAGTCGTACTTATATAATTGTACTACACGTGTTTCTGGTCTCGTGACCGTCTTCAGGTAAAAGCAGTGATTTCCACATATTATTAAAAATAATTAATTTTTTTCTTTTGTTTTTCAATGTTAAATTTTCTCGATATGAGACATTTTCTGTGTTAGTAATCCGAATTTCTTTCTTGTGAGTGAGTGTGTGTGTGTGCGTGTGTGTGTCTGTGTGTTTATAATTTAATATACTAGGTTGAATCTTAAAGTATCGGGTGCTATAAAAAGAATACTACAACACATATCAATTCGACATTTAATCTCCTTCAGTAGTCACTCTTATATATATATATATATATATATATATATATATATATATACGTGGTTACATTTATATCTTTATATCCTAACATTTATACCAAATTTTGATACCAAATTATCCGTGTATAGTTTTCGGACGCCGCAACTCTTTGTTCATCATCAGGCTACGCACTTATTGATATATAGAAGCAAATCGACTAAGGACACAGACCCATTCCAAATCATTTATTAGCATTGTAAGTTCAATTTTCAATGGATGCTCTAATATTCTGATCCTGTGCCAGACATGACTACTATCTTTTGACCAATTTTTTGAAGGCACCTACCGTAGATGATGAGCAATAATCTCTAGTTTGAGTTCGGTTTTCCATTAAGTTTTCATTAATGAGTCTATTTGTGTTAACGTCAATACAGAGACCTGATAGTGGTTTCCTCTCAAAATCGGGCCACAGACGATGTCTTCTAACTTCGGAGTTCGTCGAGTCCACGTTGATTCCATCGGCAAATCCCTCCACCTTGGCCGTTGACTTCCGTCTAGAAAGCTTTCCTTCCAGTGATGCTATGTCATCACTGCACAATGTTGCATACATACGCCTTTGTGCAAATTAATTGAAAAAAAAACAAACAAACAAAAACCAAAAAAATGAACGAATAATTCCGTTATTATTTACTATTTTTCCAATGAAACATGACACAGTGCACATATTAGTACGTCGTATGTCCATTCCACGAAGTCGTTCCTTACAGACTGTCACAGATTATTGATTGGATTTAAATCAGGAGAGTTTCCGGGTGATAGTATTTTGATTTCTTCACAGGTAAGGCTTGCAAGTGTCTTCGTGCTGCATTACAATTTTCACATGCTTCATTGGAGTAATGTCCATCGCAGATAATGACCGTAGGAAAACTAATCGACAGTCGAGACAATAGTGTCTGGGCCTGATAAAAATCTGATGCAATCATGGATGACGCAACATTTTTCAAGGCCAAACAAATTTCATCATACACCCCGAAAATAGATTCATATTTCTGCAGACCACTGCAAATGACCTAATCTGAGTAAAAATAGAAATCGATCACGCCCTGTCACACCAGTGGGTCTAAAACTGACCATATGCTGATAAAAAAGGAAACTAAAGCGGTTATTTCAATTCATTTGCACAAGGGTGTAGATATAGAACCGGGTCTTGGAAGCCGGAGATCTAACAACTGGTCCATCCGATCTTTCCCGGCATTTTTCTTAATCCTGATAGTGTACCAAGCGTGTGAGTAACGATGAACTCTTAAAGAGGATGCAAACAAGGAGAAGGCTTATACTTAACATCAGGAAGAGGCAGCTAAAGTTTCTGGGACACATAATGAGGAAAGAGGGCCTGGAGAATCTGATACTCACGGGTCTAATAGAGGGAAAGAGAGACAAGAGAAAACAACGCATGACATGCCTAGCGGACTTAAGCAAATGGATGACAGACCGTGGTCTGGGGGAGGAAGCAGAGGGAAGGAACTTGTTGAGAACTGCAAGGGATAGAGGGAGGTGAAGAGCCGTCATCGCCTACGTCCTGAAAGGACATGACACATAAAAAGAAAGTGTCTAACCATCAGTAATCACCAGAAAAATCTGCATGGGGGATCGTTTTTGTTGTCGATGACCAAACCATGCAACTAGTAGTACTGAGTCACATGTTACCAGTAGCACTTGCATGATAAGCACATGATACCTGTAGCACTTCTAGAGTAAGCACATGATACCAGTAGCACTTGTAGAGTAAGCACATATTACCAGTAGCAGTAACCGGACATAATTATGAAAGCAAATATGTAAAAAAAAAAAAAAAATTACTATTTACATTATTCGGACTATTGTCCTCATCTTTGTTGCTGAATTTATCACAACGTTTCGGCCGATGTACGCTAGGAATGTCGAACTGAGATCTTTATCTCGCTCGCTACGGTAGACTGTTCTAGTTCCATGGATACCAAATATCAGTTATCTCCTGTTAATTCCCCTTTACCAAGTATCTCCACTGCCTTAACCAGGTATTGAACTCACACGCTTGGGTCCTCTCACGGGATTTAACCAACGCCTTTATCCACCGTGCCAGGTGTCCTTAAGGAGATCTGTGTTTGAATTTCTGGGATTTATAAACTTAATGTCTTCACCATTATTTTTTTACCAGTGCTCATGTTGCAATTTTTGCTGTTATCGTTCATCTTTTTATCAGAGCTCATATTGCAATTTTCTTTGTTCTTATCGCTTTTCTCTGGCACTCCTTATTACTGGTTCCCATTTGTATTCATTTCTATGCTTGGTCGGCTCAGGAGATTTTTCTGGCCTAGCATATATGCTGATTCCTTAAGTTTGCGAATTTTCCAATGATGTTCTTTGTCTATGATCGGCTCCTTATACCCCACCCTCAAGAAAGTATCTGACTCTACCTGCCATGTCCTAACTTTACAAGAGTCAAAGCTGACTAGAAATGTAGTGTTGCTACCATATATGGATTGGAAATGCCCCAACCTCTCTTTCAGAATCTGACTTAACTCTAAAAGTGGCTACTCTTTTCCCACAGACGTTACAACGTAAACCAATTGCTTCTCTTTCGTTATTTTCTTGGAAAAATTTCCTTGAATTTTCTTGGATATCATTCAGCATCCTTTTGTAGAACTTCATGCCTGTTGCCTCAAATATCTTCATCCGTGAGAAGTTTGTCCAGCATCCACAGAGAGGTGATATTTTTATTACACTATTACCAATGGAATATTAAAGGAAGCAGGACGAGTCTATTCAGTGTACGTAGTATGGTGATGAAAGTCTGAACTGATGGAAAAATTCATGTCCGACAAGGCCGCACAAACGCTTTTAAACTCATTCAAATATGGATTGGGCAATTCTGGCCCTGATGTGACAGTAATCTTCTATTTTTGGTCAGTGAGCTAATGTCGCTGACGTAATAGCTAATAACGTGAGCTGGCTTTTCAAGCGTTCCCAGTTTGTGTGCGCTTGTGTCGTGGTGTTTCGTAAGCACGCCTTGATGAGCAGTTAGCCCGTATCTTTTTAAAAGGCCTTGTGCCAGACTAGGCTGCAAATTATAAATAAGCTTAAAAGCTTATCTTCATTTTGCGCACGCCCTCTTCTTGCTGATCTACCATCCTTTATTTCTACTGACAATTTTAACCCTTTTCTGGATGAACCAATTTGATGTCTTGTTGCGCTACGCCCGTCTATCTCTCTCTCTCTCTCTTTATCTCTTTTTTTTATTCGCTTCATATTCGCCTTTCTTCTTTCTTTTTTCTTCGGATATGGCGTCACTTCCTGCAACTACAAAAACTTCTGATGTTCTCACACTTCTCGCTTGGCGTCTCTACTTCTTATCTTCCATACGGTTTTTCAGGACTTTGCCTTGTTCTTCCATCTTCTCCGTGTCTGCATATCAGCAGAGCCGGGAGCAAGAACATCTGTTTCGCCAAGAATGGTTGAAAACCACCAAAATGGTTCCCCCAAAACCCTAAAGGCATCTCCATCCCCAGCACATCTCGTATCATTCCAAATAAAAAAAAAAAAAAAAAGTAGGAACAAAATGGAAGGAAAGAAAAAGTGAAGAATTGTTCTTAGATCTCTTGCTCGCTGATAGGCAAGCAAATTCGTAATCCGTAAATCTCTGGCCAGAGGGGGTGAGGGGAGGTGGGACGTAAGAATAAACATGGCGGTTTAAGAAATGGAAGGAAGAAAAATCCTTAAAGTATAATGGAAAATAGAAAGCAAGCGTGCATATCATTAATTCTGTTTTCTTGTGAAATAGAGTTGGCCTTGTGCCAGACACAACTAAGATTTTTAACTAGAGAAAAGAAACAGATAATGAATTTGACAATTGAATAAAGAAAATGAATGACGTAATTATTAATTTAATTGCCATTCAATCCCTGTTCAAATGCGACGATAATTTGCAGCTCAGCTTAACTGATTTGTTTTTTTTTTTACAGTTTATCAACATATTTTTAGGGATTGTGAGAATAATTTGACCATATCACACCGGTTTTCATACGATCACCAAATTTTCTAACCGTCGAAGCTGGTCTATACCTAGATGGGTGAGAGGCTGGGAATATCAGGTGCTGTAAGCTTGGATGTGCGGGTGGTGTAATGGAAAACGGCTCGGGATTGGAAAGATTTGAGTTCCACTTGTCTGGTTTGTTATGTTCACTTATTAGAAAATAGGCTTGGGAAAGGTCTGGATCCAACACTTCTCACCTTTCCAATTATGGGTGGATTAGTAGCACTTGCACCCGTAAATCATTATTATCTCCAGAATGATCTAACAATATTTTCTGGCTTTAAAAATCTGCAACCAAGATCATCAGCCATAAAGAATCAATAAGTAATGTAAAAATAATCCATTTTTTGTTGCGACTGAATACAGTAGTAAGAATTTTGGAGGAACAACAATGTTTTTTTTTTCAGTTCTAATATTTAACCCATATTTAGGCGAGAAGAGATTGCTTCACGCTTGTCCCAAGGATATTTGGATGTAAGTATATGTAACGCAGGCGACTAGCATTCGAACTCGGCTTTCTGATTTCTTATTCCGTATATACTAAAAGAAAGAAA